TCATTTATAATCTAATAGATGTGTTCTTAGGCAAAAAGTTCCAAAATACAAACTAAGGGCCGAAGTTTAGAAAATGTAAGATAATAATGGTTTTTATATTTAAATTGTGATGATGAGTTTGTGGAGAAAATATGAAATATAATGAACATTGCATTTTTCTTAATATTTTGTATACAATTATAATTGCAATTAAAAATTTATTTGAGATAAAAATTATATATATTCAAGTGAGAATGGTGGTCAATGAAAAAAATAAGAATACATCTTGGTCATTAGATCAGATGATCTAATGGCTAAAAAAAAGTCAAAATTCTACCTTTATTACGGGTAATGGTGTATTTTTTCACACCAAAGCAGTGGGACCCATGCCACCACACGACCACTAACACATGGGGCTCACCTTCCACCTAACCTCTTTCTCTCTCTCTCTCTCTCTCTCTCTCTCTCTCTCTCTCTCTCACACACACACACACAAAAACACGCCACATCACCACCAACGAACACAAACACATGCACACACACCCACACGCACAAATCACGCACCTACACACACGACACACGGACATCATACAGAACCACTGAGTTCCTGTTTGTCCCATTTTTGTTACGTTTTTCCATATTGTTTTGTCGTTCTTTTTCCCCCATTTTAGGTATTTTTGTTGGTTTGTAGTTCATTTTGTTGATTATCGCGTGTTTCCCTTTATTTTGGTTCTTTTTTTGTTTTTTGTATGTTTTTTCCATTTTTCTTCTTGTTTTTGGTGTGCAGGTTAGAAGCCCGTGAGGAATAAATTTAGCTCGAAAACAGGCTAGGAAATCATGGTTAGATATATGGGTTCGTTGGCTACAAGTAGGAAAAAACGGAATTCGATTTCGAGTTCGGACGAGTCCGGACGGGCCCGATATGTGAAGTCACGCACGGAAGCCATCACCTTCAAGTCAAAAGCTTTGGAGAACAGGTTTTCAAGAATAAGTTAGATTTAAAAGCACAATTATGTAGAAGGCTTCGTTAACGACGCGTAGGAAAAAATGGAACTCAATTCCGAGTTCAAACGAGCCCGAAATGCAAAGTCGCGCTGCCCAGGCCATAGCGGCGCTAAACCTGGTTTCCTAGCAGCGTTATGACATGTTAATGATGCCAGAGGCTAACAACTTTCATTCCTTAGCGGCGCTAAGGCCCTCTGCAAGTCCCAGAATGATATAAGAACCCCAAAAACTCATTTTCTTCTCTATTCTTTTCACTTCCAGCTTGAAGGGGGAGGAACCCTAGGTCCGAAAATCGCTTCCCCCCTTCATTTTCCTTCATATTCTTATTCTCTTATCCTTCTTTTCTCCATTTTTCTTCTTCTTTTCTTTCTTTCTCCTTCTCTTCTTCTTCTTCTCTTCTCCTCTTCTCTCTATCTTTCTTCTCCATTTTTCTTTCTTATTTTTTTCTTTTCCATTTTAGGGATTAAGCTTGTATTTTGGATTCAACACTTGGATTGAGATTAATTGTAAGTTTTTCTTCTTGTTTAATTCATGAAAATGGGTGAATTTGGAGAAATGATTTATTGTGTTGAATTTATTTTGTGTGGCTAATTCCTATTGCTATGGATAGGGGATGATTGTTCTTGTTTAATTCGTAATTGTTAGGCTTTAATTTGTTCATTCTTGTGCGAGTTGAATTGATTAGAAATTGATTAATTCTTGCTTGATATTTGATGTAGCCTAAGAGTGACACTTAGATTAATTTATTGATATAATAGAAGAGTGACACTTCGATTTTGCGATTGAATATTGATTTGTTGGGTTAGGGTTTGTTGATTCCGCATGATTAGTTGATTGAACACCTTCTAATTGATTTAGCGACTTTTAGAACCGATAGGGGAGGAGTCGTAGAACTAGGCTCGTACGAGGTAGACATGTTTGGAGACGTATTGTCTATAGGTTTTCAATTGAAGTACACGCTTGTCGATGTCCCTTCCCACGTTACGAAGAGTTATTGAGATTGGATTATTGGCTGGTGTTGTATGCTCGAACTTTTTCGTCTATGCTCAATCTCATATTACGAAGAGTTATTGGGGCGAACCGCTAGATGTTTAAGCGAGAGTATTAATCATGAACCGAACGATTAATTTCCCAGCTTTATGTTTCGAACTTAAATTAATTATCCCCGATTCCCTAGCTTCTTTATTGTTGTTTCGTTTATATTTTTAGGTAGATTATTGTTGATTTTATTTCTTCGTTAATAATTATTCAAACCCCCTTATTTGATTAAAGGGTTTAGGATTTTACTTTCTTTTTGTGTGAAATCAATACTGAAGCTAAATTCCGAACCGCCTTCCTTGTGAGATCAACCCGAGGAACGAATCTTTCAATTCGGTACTCGGTAAAAATAACAATTTGTACACAACAGTTCCCGTCTGAATCCTTGGCCACTTGAGGCCATCGGTGTCGGCCCAGTGCCAATTATGCACTTTGGCGCTACCGGGACGGTCTTCCACGATCCACCTCTTGTCGCCTTCCCCAATTTCGCCATTGCTGATGTGAGATTACGATGTTATGTCATCTAGTAACCGGTCCACGGCGCGTGCGATGGTGGAGGCAGAGAGGAATTATACGAGGATGGAGAAGTTTTGGATATTTCTCAATGGAGAAAAGGGTCTAGGCGGGCGATATTTTTTCTTTTTTTTGTCATTCACAATTTTGAGAGTATTTTAATTATAGTTTTGGTATAACTACAAATAAAAATAAAGTTAGTATATGTGCAAATAAAAGTTATCTTGGTGGTGGATGGGGTCATTTTCTCTCATGGTTAATGCATACCCTATGATCTCGTGGGTCTAATGTATAGTTCAATTCACTACAAATATATGAAACTCAACGAAAAGTTCTAACAGAAATATATTAGATGTTCCATTTCATTTCTCTACAAATGATCGAATTTCATCTAAAATTTCAATGAAAAACTCATTCCAACGGAACATTTTCATTGAAATCATTCCAACGGAAAGCTATATCATTGAAATATCAATTGGACTTTTTAGTGTAATATATTACCATAAGATTTTCTGTTAGAATATTACAATTTTTTGTAGTTTTGTGATATATGACTTTATATTACAATTTAATAAAACTCCTTCTTTATATGACGATGATTGAGGAAATCAATTCCCGGTTATATATGACTTTCACCGTCTCTTGTTACTCACCCGAGGGATCCAGGTGTCTCCCCTCTAAAAGTATCGAAATATTTAATTTTAATCTTTATTAAAATTTTCAAGAACTATTCTTGATATGGAAATAATTCTCAAAGTTCAAGAACACTTCTTGATTTACAACTCTTGTGATTTTTCTCTCTCAATTTTCTTGTTAATAAAAGTGTGTACATGTACATCACATATGTACACCTATTTATACTAAAACATTTAGATCACAAGATGTCATCTTGTATTTTAAAATTATTATTTTAATCAAATTAGATGGCATCTTGATCTAAATGATTTTAATAATAAAAAATGTCATTAGATCCCATCTAATAATATTTTATTATTATTTTAATCTTTAATCAAATTAAAGATTAAATATTATGATTTATAATTTCTGAAAAAAAAATTAATTTATCAAATCTCATATTTATAAAATCTCCTCTTATTATAATCATATTATAATATGGATTTGAATTTTAAAATCTAATTTTAAAATCCAACTATTAATTTAGTAATTCTATTAATTATTTAATTAATATCCAAAATATAATTAATCAATCAAATTGATTAATTTAGTATATTCCTTTAATTGATATCTAATCAAAATTAATACTTGTCAATTAATTTTAATTATTTAGAAATACTAATTTCAAATGATCTACATTCAAAATTGGGTGTGACCTTTTAGGTTCACTATTAATACTAGTAGTGGGTTTACAACTCCTTCTAATTTGAATTAATCAAATTAATTCTTATTCTTTGAATTAACTCTTTAATTCAAGAACCCACATATCATGGGAACATGTAGCAAGTAGCATGAATCTAGTATTAAGTGAATAGCGAGTAAATCTTTTCGATTACAAGTCCATACATGTCAAATCCTTTCGACATCCAATTTCCCGATTAAATCTTGGGTATGATTTAGTCAAAACTCAAATTGATTTAATAACTATGATTTCATTTTAAGTTTAGTAATTCATATATAAATCTCTATTCATCCCGCTTTGGCCAAGGACTTTGAATTACAAACTATGAAACACATAGGAAATTCACTTATCTCATAAATGTCGAATTCTTTGTTGGCCACTGACAAACTCTGTGCTAGCAATCAAAAGGATAAATCAAAGTAAAATATAATATGCACAAAGTTACTATCGTGCCTCAAGTCTAAGGATTAATCATGTACTATTAGTTGAAATTTTTAGTGTAATATATTACCATAAGATTTTCTGTTAGAATATTACAATTTTTTGTAGTTCTTAATACATATTTGCACTAGTATAATTAGTTATTTAAAAAAATTATACTTAAAAAAACAAAATGATAAACAATAGAAATTTTCGTTTTTATTTTTCAAGTATTTCTTAACATACTTATGTTTAAAAAAATTTGCATCCGTCACATGTAAGACCTATTCATATATATTTTAATATATGCAATATGAATGTCAAATAGATAATCATCAAAACTCAAAAGATGATTACTTGGATATACCATATATAAAAAAATTGATGACAAGTGTCTTGTCTTAGGCAGATATAACCCATTAGACGACATATTCTTTTCACAAATATTCACATATTCATTAGAAAACGTTATAATTTAATAAAATATGACATTTAATAGTATAAATATTTTTTTTTATTTAAAGTGTATGAAACATCAATCTGCCTAACCTGCCACACACAAATAATCATACTATACAATTCTAAAAATCCTAAACGGATTAATAAATATTATAACCTTCTGCAGCATCTATGTTTCTTTGGATGATAACATATATTCATAAATTGCTAAACAAAGTGGTAATATTTCATACAAACTACCGAGGGCAGCAAATTTCAGCGTCAAATACCACCAAATGCAAAGACAAAAAGAAAATCGCAAAAAACATCATTGGAGTTCAACAAGCACAACATTTCGGATCAAATGCCAACACGAAAACTGTAAGACAGTCGAACAAAGTCAATAAACCAAAATTTCGCTTTCTTTTATTTCTCCTAATGTCACATAAAGACCGACATACTCACTTTTATTATATATGCAAATCTCCTAAAGACATATAGCCCTTTTAATTTCCTCTAAAAAAGACATTAAACAAGGATGACGTGACCTTTATGTTGTATATGGAGTACAAATAGTCCGCACCAAAACATCATAAGCTATGTCGCCTGCCAAAGCATTTGTTGGAGTTGGATCAGTTGCTGCTGCTGATCGGGCGGCAGGGAACTCAGTTGCTCCTGAGTTAAGCTCAGGACTTGCTGAAGCAAGGTTCGATTGACATCTGAAGGGACTTGTAGCTGTAGAGTGAAAAATATTGTTCACAACACAGTAATAATAGGGACAGAAAAAAAAAATTACATAAATACGAGGTGGCCTGTTTCCCAAAAATCAAAAGTCTACCAACAAAGTTGACTTGATTTCAAAGAAATTTCGCATAACTGTAGATTGCTTCATACCACAGATGCATAAGTCATTTATTCACAAAGTTGTTATCTTTTATATTGGATCTTAAAAATATTTTTCATTCAAAATATTTTTTTACTGAACTGAAAAACAGTCATTTATTAACATAGTTGTTATCTTTTATATTGGATCTTAAAAATATTTTTCATTCAAAATATTTTTTTACTGAACTGAAAAAAAAAATTCAGCTAGCCCATTTTATCGTCATTCAGACAAGTCCTTTCCATTGAGATCCAATTACTTGAATAATTATGCTGTTCATGAGAGTAGGAAACACCGTTCCTGAAAAAAGTGACTTCAAAACAATATTCTTTTATGGAAATCAACTACCTGTGTAGCTTGCTGCTTGTCAGATTTCAGAGTCTCTTCTGCTCTTGGGGCTTGTCTTCCTGGTATATTGGAAGTTGGGAATCGTGTGACTATATTTACTGCCCGTGAAGATGGTAGGGCTTGTGAACCATTCAATTTCACCAATTTTGATGCTCTATTGACTTGGTCCATGGTGTCACTCACAACTCTCGACTGCCCAATGACAACTGAACCACGTCCTTTCAAATCCATATTTTCCAGCATGGTGGACGGTGATGAGGAGCTAGGCTGCTACCAGAGGTAAAAGAAACTAAAATAACAACAACATAGCCTTTAGTCCCAAGCAAGTCGGGGTAGGCTAGAGATGAAACCCAAGAGAAACACAAAAAGACTCGAACCGAAAGGAAGAGATCGAAAAAAAAACGAGAGAGAGAGAGAGAAAGGAGCAAAAGTCACGGTTCTGGCACGTTGATAGCGAGCCTCCAAGCGCTCCTATCCACCGCTAAATCCTTGGAGATACTCCAATCTTTAAGGTCTCTCTTAACCGACTCTTAGGCCGACCTCTACCTCTCTTAACATCCTCGACCCGCTGTAGAACTCCCCTACGCACCGGTGCATCAGGAGGCCTCCGTTGGACATGTCCGAACCACCTCAGCCGATGTTGAACCAATTTCTCCTCAATTGGAGCCACCCCGACCCTATCTCGAATATCCTCATTCCGGATTCTATCCCTTCTTGTGTGCCCGCAGAACCAACGCAACATACGCATCTCTGCTACACTTAGTTGTTGGACATGTTGCATTTTTGTAGGCCAACATTCAGCACCGTATAGCATCGTCGACCGAATCGCCGTCCTATAGAACTTACCTTTTAGCCTTTGAGGTACCCTCTTATCACAGAGAACGTCCGACGTCTGACGCCATTTCAACCAACCGACTGCAATTCTATGCCTAACATCAGCATCAATGCCGCATCCTTTTGTAGCATGGATTCCAAATACCGGAAAGTCTCCTTCTTGGCCACCACTTGCCCGTCAAGGGTAACGTAACCATCATCATGTGAAGCCATGCTGAAAGCGCACGTCATGTCCTTGAAAATTTGGCCAAATGATGAGTCAGAAGATCAGTTCCAAACATGGGCCGACTTTGAAGTCCAATCTGATTGAGTGTGCTAGCAACCTGACCAGACCCAAGAGCTCCTGCCATGACAGTTGCAGCAGTCACAGCAACTGAGTCCCCCATTGGCTGATGAAGACTGGATTGTCCAGCTGGACCGCCCAATTGTTTTAAAGGATCTGCAGCAAAGCCTTGTATAAATGCAATAATTAAAACCTCAATAAAAACATTGTGACTTTATAATTCTCCATATACAAATTAAAGAATTTCAATTGTTTCACTTACCAACATTTGAGGGAATACCAGGACCACCACCACCCTGCAAGAGAAGGAACTATCATGAAGACAAAAAGTTCAAGTTCGGCAATTACCAAGCTTTGTCTAGATGAGATAAAACAGTCCCTCGATACATTACACATTTATATTGAGATATCCCACATTATATAATAAGAATGTTAATGTTCTTGATTAGTAACCAATTTACCTGTTCACGATTCCTGTCAGCATTCTTGTCATTCTCAGCAAAGTCAACTCTTAGCTGCCGACCATTTATCTCATAGCCCTGAAGATTACGACGAGCACTTACAGCAGTCTCTCCATCCTTGTACTCACAAAACCCATAACCATTTGTTTTCCAGTATCTCTATCAATAACTATCTGAGACAGCGAACAATGATAATTTGAAAGAGAAGATTTACATCCAAGGAAATATCTCAATAACCATTTATTTGTCAAAAATTGTTCACTTAGTATGTTTTACAACCAAGTAACAAGTTGGTGTTTGTAAATATAGCTGTCGCTGACCCTTTCTTCCAAGTTCTAATATGCCAGAAAATCAATTGGAAATAGTAATATGCACAATGCTCTCAAAAAGTGCTGAACAGAACTGACTGTTAGATGGAAAAGAATTTGTGAATGTGCTGCTACCATGCATAATGTAAATGTCTAGTTATAGTTTCAGTAGAAAACTACTATACAATCACCTTAAAGAATCTATTAACCTGATTTAAACAATTTAAACATCAGCAAAACGCTGAAAAATTGCACTATCGTGCAGGAACCTGATGCTGCTTACTTTCCTATATTCATGAATACTCAAAGTAATGTTTTCAAATATCCTTATTGTTACAGGCTTGCAGACACATGATGACATATTGATGACTTAATAGTTAATTCAACCAATTAACTTAAGAATTTCTGGCATTATGCAGCCAAAATCACATCATATTGGCATCAAATACTTTCCTTCTGCACATCAGAAAACCAGTGAGGAAAATGTAAATGTGGGTAAGAGGTAGAGCCTATTGAGCATTAAAAGGACACTAATGTCCTCCTACAGGATGTGATTTCTGGTAGATTTGCCTATAGAGGATAGCCATTTGGCATATCCAATCAGCCCTATTTACTTGAATACAACTATAGTTCTCCGAACTCTGATAGGGGAAGAAAACCATAAAGAAGATAGAAGAATAACTCACCTAAAGGAAACGACCGGACTCCTCGCATATTTGAACAAGTTGTTCTTCAGTAGCATCATAGGGTATATTCCCAACTAAAATACACAGATATCAACATTGATTAGTTAAAATTATATTTTTCAATCCCTAGCTCAAGAGACACAGAAGAAATATAGCCTGACTTCGCATAAGATTGAGTTTCCAAATCTTAAAAACCAAAATTTTAAGGCATTAAATTGAGCAATTATGGTGTTGAATAGAAAAAAAAAAATCACGTTTAATAATTCAAACAAAACAGTGCGGGAGCTAGAAAATTACTTACCAAAAACGCAACGATGCTGAGACAGAGGATTGCCAGCCATCAAAGGACTTGATTTCTCATTGAATCAACAAAAAAACTACACACGAAATCATGATTGTGATTCAATCTCGTGTTCCGTATTTACTATTTGTTAAATAATATTCTCCCAGCTATTTGAAAGGAAAAACTGACCCAAAATGTGTGGAAGATTAATAGAAAAAAATGAGAGGTTAGCTTAAGCCCAAAGTGTAGTGATACAGTCGGTTATTTACAGAATGTAATCCAGCACTTTAGCCCTTGAAACTCGAGATTTTAAAGAAACTGAGCTCTAAATCAAATATGAAAAACTCGAATTTGGGATTTCCGAGCTCAGTCGAAACTCACGGTGTCCTGACGGGCACAAGGCGGTCGGCGGCAAGGGTAGACAGGTCAAGGCCGATCCCAAACAGAAAACAAGGCGGAAAAATTAAAAACAAAATGAGAGGGGAAGAGGAAAAGCGAAAGATATACAACAAATATGTAGAGAGAATAAGCGAGGAGAAGGCCGGCAAAAATTCAGGAACAACACACGCGGGAGGTTAAGCGTTGCGAAGAAGAAGAAGAAGAAAGAAGCAGAAACCGATGTCGCTCCCCGGCGTGAAAGNAAAGCCAGTGACCGGCATGCTGAGTTGGAAATTATTTTTTTTTTTATGTGACACAACAAGTCACTAATTTTTGGAGGGAATTTTGGCTACATATCTTGCCCTAATTTCGCTCATAATTTCTTGCCTTAATTCTGAGAAATAGGGAGTTTCAAATTGTTGCAAAATTCTTGCCAAATCCGGAGTCTTAAATTCTTCCTCTCAAATTCTCAAAATTTCATAGTCCTAATTGTCATGTTTCTCTTAGAAGGACAAGGTGTCCTCGTCCTCATCGGTCATTAGCCCGAAGATTTCTCTATTTTGTCACAGTGGGAAGAAAGCAAAGCTGTGAATATCGTGGACTCAAGCCAACCTGGGTAGGCGCACATTCCAGATCTTGCAAGCCGTTGTCTATCCACGGGTGTGAAGATTGGGAGGTACTCTTTTCCCTTATTGAGTCATGTTTTTTTTTTTCTTTTAAAATTCACAAATATTTTGGTATGAAACACAATACTTGCCCTAACTCAGTTTGGAGGCTGCGGTTTTTTTGCTTGAGAAGATCCCTCAATTCCTCGGCGTACTGTATATGTGATCCGGAATCTTCTTGAAGAGAAGGAGACTCTGATGAAACACGTACAGATTTTGGAAAATCAGAGGCGCAAAATGAAGATGTACTTGATGATTTCTTAGTGTTTAATTATTTTGTTAAATTATGTGTTATAAAGTATGTTATTAGATCTCTCGCATATTATACACTATTTTTGCGTTTCGCAAACTACCAATCATACTCCAAAGAAATAGTGTTATAAATTTATGCATGGTATCTTGTAATATTTGTAAGATATAAATATATAGAATACACTATACAAGTATAAAGTTATTTATCTAATTTATTATTATTTATTATATATATGTTGTTTCTAGTAATTAGAGTTATTCTTTTTATCTAAAAATTATAAATTGATAATATGTATATATGTGATGGTCATATTTATAAACATGTAACATTTATATATTGTATAAACTAGATAAAATAGAAAAAGTAACAAAAAGTTAGGTCCTAACTTGTATGAATCTACTCATCTTCATTCTTCAATATCTATGAAAAATTAAAAATATTTTATTTACTAAATTATTATTTTTTGTAACATGTATTTTTTGGTATATCTCTTTGTACCTATAATTATTAAGTGTGCGGGTAATGGGGCTGGGTAAAAAAACGAGTCCGATAAACGGGTCGGGTACTGTGTTTTTCTATTAAACTCGTACCCGACCCGACCCGACATGCGGGTATGGGAAAAAAAACCATGTATGGCCCGCGACCCCATATTTTCGGGTCTACCCAACCCAATTTTTCAGGTTACTCGTGAGTAACACGACCCAGTGGGTTTTTCTAACAAGCCTATTCGCGACGGACAAAATCATTATTAAATATAGAATTTCTTATGAATGAAAATTAGCAAAATTTGTTTTTTAGACAAAAGTGTCTACACCATATTCCCACATATATATTTCTCAAATGTGCTAAGCCTAAGAAGCAGGCCCGCACGTTTCAGAATTCTATGTGGTGAATTTTTAAGTTTTGTTGTTTGACTTCAATTAATTTTAATTTATTTTCAATACAAAAGTAGCTAGGCTTGAAATATCCATAAATATACTGAATATTTATTGTCCTTTAAGAGCGTTAACTCTCAAGGACTCGGATTAGTCAACAGGAATTAAGTCTATGTTTTAATACTATTTCTTATTGTAGACGTGATTTATAAAGTATATTTTTTTTAACAATCTTTCTTTTCAAATTATAACAAATTTACTAACTTAAATTATAAATATATTTAAAAGTTGATAATTTTTTATTTATTAACAAATTTTTATATATAATATATCAAATTAATCATGTCTTGATGAACTTCGATTTAACATCTATATTGCACATACAAAATAAATAAATAATTTTATTTATCTTTGTAATTAAAACTAAATTACCTATTATATTAGTTTAAAAATATAAAACTATTTAAACTACCTTAACTACGAAGCAGTTACCTGATATAAATTAAAAAAATTATAATATAACATGGTAATCCGTGTAAGTGACGGTGTTATTATAAATATAAATAATCATAATATATTTTTTCAAAAAGTATTTAAAAACTATAATAATTTTTGTTGTTATTATTATTTAAGTTAAAATATAATCTTCTTAACAAGTATCCGTGTAGTACATTGGCACTGTATGATATAAACTAGTAATCACTCGTGCGATGCACGGGGATATTATTACCTAGACGCTTTTTAAAAGACAATTTTGTATATAAATTGTGTAATAATGCAATGATCATGATCATAATAATAGACATATAAACATATAATTAAACTGATAAAATCATATATTATTGAACACTTCCCTATATACAACATTATTGGTTTGATTTTTTGGCACGTCATCTTCGCAATAAATTAAGATTTTCAAATTTTTTCGGTTAGTGACACGTGAGACAACAACATATAATTGTCCAAAACTGAACACTGGTTTCTTAAGAAATAAGCCAACATATAATTACGCCTGTTTTGTCTAATTCGCACCTTAAACATATATGATTTGTGAATCATATTTTCTATTTCGTCTGGCAGTTCAATGCTGGAAGAATTCTGCCAATAGAGATAACAATATGTATCATATAGTTTTTGGTGTTAATATATATAATATATAGTATAATTAAGATTAACATAACGAACCTTTTGCATGATTTCCCGTCTCAATGTTGGGATCTGTGAGGATCTCGTTATGTACAAGTCACGAATTCAATAGCAAACGTAAACCTATGCGCAGCGGATCTAAAGGTTTGACGTTGAGAATTTACAACTTAAAATTTATGTAGATCTGGTTGATCACGAACGGTTGACCGCAAATCACGTCTTGGGTTGCACGAACAAGATCAGATCAAAATCGGATCAAACGGATGCAAACAGATCAAAACGAAACTTTGCAGCCTTGGAGCTTCCGACGGCGCGTGAGGGCGCGTGAGACGTCGGACGGCTGCAATATCGGCGGCGATGGAAATCTCTCGTCGAGACGGTCGTCTGGGTATGCTGTACGTCTCAATCGGACTTCTGGCTAGTTCTGTAGGTCAAAATATATTTCGTCTCGGTTTACCTACAGATTTTCTACTGTATTACTCAATACACCCTTCTTCTACTTTACCAGTGGAGTAACAAGAAGAAGATAAAGCTCGAATAAGATCTAGAGAGAGAGAGGCGTGGGCCGTGTCTCACGTGTGATTAGGAATTCACTTCTCATGAGCTTAATGATGTATATATAGAGCTACAGTAGGGACCCTTAGGAGATTAGGAAAAGAGCTCCTTAATTAATTAGACTAACTGTGGGCCAAGCCCACTCCTCTAATTAATTAAATAATATTAACGTGCCACGTGCCACCAACATTATATTATTGCACTCCCTTTCCCTAGCCCAAATTACATTTGATACTCCAATAATAATTACTCGATTTACCTTCCCATGTTTAAGATATAATGTCCATTAATTAATTCAATTACTGACAATCAAGAATTAATTAATTTATTATTATTTCACCGAAGCTAGCGCTCGTTCATCACATTCTTATTATGCCGGAACTTAATCCACCTGCAGGGTTTAGCATAACAATCCTTCATGAACTCACTCCGGGGACATCATCAAACTAACGCACATGGTGACCGTAAATATCCTAACAGCACATCCTATATATAATAATATTACCCAAAACAGTAGGAATATTAATCCAGCGAACTGAACCTCACCCATGTGAATCAAAGTAATATATATTATATATATCTGCCTGTTTAATATCTTACGGGTTAAGAGAACGCAGTAATTAACCGAGGCCTAGTTCATTTACGACGATCAGTATAAAATGAACTTCTCCTCTCTGGGATCCTGTTCAATACATAAATGTAATAGTGCAACTAATCAATCAAGACAAACTGTACAGTTGACACTACAACCGTTCGGATGGGGTGTTCATGTCCATCTAGGTTGTGAACAACTATTCTTGTTCGCAAGTGACTGATATAGTGATCTTCGGTTCGCCCGATGACGACCCACCCTATCTAAGTGCAGAACAACAGAACGTAGAACTTGTTTAATCTAACATGATTCTCATTCATAAAGGGTAAATGTGTAATAACATGCAAAGCCAAGCTTTCAGTATATAACACTAACACTCAATGCATCACATGGCCTACCAATTATAGGTTCGCATTCATTATTCCATACAATTAAAGTCGCAGGTGCCGAATTGTCTTGGACACCAAATTGAATCTTGTAGCTATAGATAAAAAATATAAGTTAAGAAAAATAATCATATATTATTTAATTACTATTTTGTAATATATTAGTAATTTTGTTACCAAAAATGCCAAATTTATGAGCACATTTGCTGCACTTTAACTGTCCATTAACCTCCTCCATTTTGCTTATGCATCTTCTACATGAGTGGTACCACCACTCATCTATAATTGACTCCACTGTAGTACGTACCCAAACATCGATTTTCTACGTTTATAAATATACAATTCAGCTATGATTTTCATCAAGTAGAAGTGACACATAAGTATTTGTATTTATATATACCTCAGCAGTATCATAGAGTCAGTCAATAGCCCTCACAACAACATCACCATCGGCTAATTCTTGAAGTTCATATTTCACAATTACAGCGCTCTTTGAAATTAAGCGGGCCCTTCTAAGTGGGCCGACGGCAACCCTGTATAAGATATAGAGTTTATTTTTTTAATTGTCTATTATTATATATATATATATAACTATTGAATATTAAATTAATTCAAAGTAGTTTTACCTATTGCGAAATTCCACAATGTCTGGAACATTTTCTCCAGCAATTAGCCTTGTTATATCCTTTGATGAGGTAATTGCATTGTTTCTGTTTGTTAAGAAATAATATAATTCACTATTGGATAAATTAATTATATAAATTGAAGACATTAAATTTTATATACCTGTCCATGATCTTGAACGCCCTAATTGAATTATCAAAGTCAAAGGATTGCCATTGTGGGCAAGCTGACTATCAAAGTTGAGGAATTGGTCAATATATGTCCCTCATAGAGTGCAGGGCAAAACGTTTCCCCTAATTGCAAATTTAAACAAAAAATTTATTATCATAGATAGGAAAGTAACTATTACATTATATTTTTATATATGAATAATATGTCGGTGTATGTTTTAATATTACTCTGGATCCATTAGTGAGAATGCTATTAGGCTGAGCATGGGACTCGGAGAATTTCGAACCGTTCCGAAATCACTCCGAACCGAAAAATCTCCATTGACTGTTTGACTTTCTCCGAACCGAACCGAACCGAAAAAATAATTGGTACGGTTCTGGAGATTTCATAAATACCCGTACCGAGAACCGTCCCGTACCGTACCGAACCGAAGAACCAAAATTAAGAACCGAATTATAAAAATAGATGCGTGTTATTAACATATTTTGGTCAACTTTGATCCTATATAATTTGAGAATTGTTAAAATGTAAATAAAACATAGTAATAACAATTAAGATTCACTTACATTTCATGTTTAGTAATATTTGATCTACAATTGAATTTCTCATGTTTAAAAAAAAATAGAATGAAAGGTTAAAGATTTTATTATATATATATATATAAGCTTTACTTAAAGTTGTCGATGCTTAGTCTTAGTTTATCTTATAACTAACATGGTATGGAAGGTTAAATAAATATTACTTTAATATAAAACTGTATTATATTTTGTTGGAATTTAAAATTTTCAATGTTAGTTGAATTTAGTTTTAACTAAAATTTAGGGTTACTTCTAAAGTTGATTTAAAAATAAAATTTTTAGTATGATGAAGTATTGATACATGTTGGATTAAAAAAAAACATATAAAAAATAAAATATAACTAGGTGGTCATTCAAGAAAATTCAAAAATGATAAGAAGTCTCCGAATATCCGAACCGAACCGAACTGTTCCGATAGCCCCGAAAATCGAACCGAACTGAACCGAAAAATAAAAATCTCCGAATCGGACCGAACCGATTTTTTGGTACGGTTCTGGAGATTGATTTTAGTGATCTCCGAACTTCGGTACGGTTCTGGAGATTTATCAATCTCCGAACCATACCGACTCATGCTCACCCCTAAATGCTATCATGCGAGATTGTACTCCTTTGACGTTCTTCATTTGAACTGGATGTATCTCGACCACCATTCCAATGACAAATAAACATTTATTAAATATGAGTAAAAATATTATTGACGTTAAAAAAAATTAAATAAGTGAAAATACAATAATATTTGGTAATTCAAACTCTGATATGATGATAAGATTAGTTGGACGTTCACCTTAATCTCTCTTAACTGATAATGAACACGTGTTGGTGAATTTTGTTGAGTTTGAATAAATTCAAATTGTGATGTTAATAATGTTAATCCCTCTCATGATTTACTTTAGCAATATAGTGAACACGTCTTAAGTTGTTGGGAGTGTGATTATTTTGTGCTACGTAATAATTTAATCTCTCTCTCGTAAGAGATAATGAACACGTGTTTTAAAATGAAGTTGAGTTTGAATAAATTCAATTTTTTATGTTAATGATGTTAATCTCTATTTTGATTTACTTATCAATATAATGAACACGTGTTAAGGTGTTGGGAGTGTGATTTTTTTGTGTTACGTGATAAATTCTAACTCTGGTATGATGATAAGAAAATTGCAATTTAATTGGATAATAAATTAATTAGTTAAGATGTGGAGATATTTCGTCGTGTACAAAGATTAAATAGCATCAGACTCTCTTATGGTTCTATAAGTCTATATCTATACTAATATATATATACCATGCGATTAAAAACAGATTAATATATAAATTATTGTAATATGAATTGATCAAATGTTTTCAGCCGTGAGATTAATATAATTGGTTTATATATGACATTATTTATTATGTTTTTTAAATGAATAAAATTAATTTCAATTGTGATTTGATGATAAAAAAATTTCTGATGTGATGAATTATAAAAGATTAATATATTAATTGTTAAGCAATCCACCGTGATTTTTGATTTATTTTAAACTTTTAGGTGATTACTTTTAAGTGATAAAATTAGTTGGATAATAAATTAATTAGTTAAGATGTGGACATATTTTGTACGTTTTGAATAAATAAGCTATGTTGAATTCAAAATATGATTACTCTTAAATGATTAGATTTTCCATCATGAGTTATCCAAAGATTATTGTTCCAATATTATCTCTACACCATTAATTTTGAATTCAAATTGTGATTTTTCCATCAATAATAAACTACACAATTATTCTTTTCAAGCCTTCTATAAATAGAATGTCAAAGGTATTATTTATTTGGTCAAAATTTTCCAAAAGAGATTTATCCAACAACCTTCTTATATTAGATAGATAAATTATTATAATCTACTTTGGTTACTTCTCAAATTGCGAGCACAAGAATTTTGACAGTTGATTTCAAAATTTCATAACAACTTACTCAATATAATTTTAATTTAATGTAATCGAATTCTGCATCTAATTATGCCATGCACATAACAATATTATTTGTTTAATTATTTTAATATGGTAAGTATCATTCCTTAGTAGTATAAATAGTTTAGTCCGAATACATCTATGTACCACAACAAATTAAATTCATATTTTTCTTTAGACTATATTTTGTGTACTACGAGTGGAGCACCATGTTCACTTATTGTGTGTCTCATTTTTCCAACATTTTGACTCTGGTTGTCACATTGTTTCTCATAACTAATCCAACTTGTTTTTGTTTAAATTTGAAATTAGTAAATACATCTGCTTATAATGGTTTCTCACAAGGAGTAGCAACATGGTATGGTGAACCGCGAGGAGTAGGAAGTACAGGTAATACATTTATAATATTTTGTGACAATTACATCTACTTTGACCTCTAATGTTTATAAAAAATGAAAATTAAATTAATTAGTTTTGAAAATGCAAAGAGATTCTTGGTTTGTTTAATGGTGATATTTTAGTGTGAATAAGGTGTGTTTCATTTCAAAACTTTTATTCTTATTGAGAAGTGATTTACAAGAAGCTAACTCATAGATTTTAGGGCGTGATTGTTTATAAGTTGTACAGTAAATATCCCACTCAAAACTCAAATTTAACTCAACTTTAACTCAACTCCACTATCTTCAATATTATCAATATAATTAAATAATATCAAACAATTATTATTACACATCACATCAACTTTAATTTACTATTCACCCACTCACATAATTTTAACTAATCATCACTTCCAATCATTTTCTCCTACTTTTACATCAAATCAACTTTAATTATTTTAATTTAAATATTATTTTAATATATCCACTAACAACTAACCATATTACTTTTTTTCAAACTTAACTATAGTTAAAAAAAAAAACTAGTTTTTTACTAGTTGAATTCATATCCAATCACCCAGTTTCTTGTAACTTTTTCCGTATATATGATCGATGTCAAGATATGGGTAGTGTTACGATTAACCTTGTGTATATATATTCCATGCACGTGACAATCAATATAAATTGCATGATCGGTATAATACAAATATATTATATATATAGAACTTGGTTAAATTTAAAGCAAAATAATACACAAGTTGTTTTTATATATTATATTGTAAATTATTTCTTTCAATTTATTTGGTTAATGATTCGAGAAACAAATATGTTATTGTACCATAAGCTAAGAACGAAAGTTTTCGATAAATGTGCACAATATTCTATCATAAGCTGAGAATCAATGTTTAACATGACTAATATAAATAACAAAAATGATAAAATACTATTTAATAATAATTATACATTAATTAGTTTATGTTTGAAGATATATATATAATAGTCTTTTGGTTAATTAATGTGTTTATATATATAAAATTTAGTAGTTTTTTTTTTTTAATTACTATAGCTAATAAATTGTAATCAATTTACTCATTTTACTATTGTTTAATATGAAAAATATATGGTACAATATTACAAATACTTTAATAATAATTTATAAGATATATATTATCAATAATTTATAATAAAGTGATTCGACAGATAACAAGTTCAGTTTATACTTTTTATATTGAATTTATACTTTTTATATTATATATAAAAGAAATTTATGTGGCTCATTTTATACTTTTTATATTATATATAAAATAAATTTGTATGGTAGGACTTAATCAATAATTGGATCTATTTGTCATACCCTATTGAAATACATAAATTTATACGGATCAATTGACATATTTATATAGTTATATTTTTTTAAAGTATGATATCTTTCAATGTAATAATGTATATATATGAAAAAAAATATGTCGGTCTAACAATTTGGCTAACGTAAAAGAATAATTATTTACATAAACTTTTTATGTTTATGTTTATCATAAAAATTTTCACACTATTTTAGACTGAATGTATTAAAATATCCATCTTTGTGTAGTCAATCAAAATTTATCTTATGCAAGATATGAATATAAAGTTTAAATATATATATATATATATATATTCATCTTATTTTATTGTTTTCTCTACAATCTCATAGGTACAACTAAAATATAAAAATCAAAATATGTTAATTTTCTTTTTTAAGAAAATAATCATCCACCTCATATTTCTACCTATAAACCATTAACAATCAATATTTTGTTATTTATACATTACATTGCGACCAATTATCTTAAAATTATTTCACCTTTTCTTTTTAACCTTTTCATCTCAAATTCTGACGAAAAATTCCATATTGTCGAACCTCCTTTTCTTTTGCAGGTGGAGCTTGTGGTTTTGCAGATGATGTGGCTGCCCCTCCTTACAATGGCATGATATCTGCTGGAAACAACTTTTTATTCAAATCTGGAGCGGGTTGTGGAAATTGTTATCAGGTACGTACAAATATAGTGTTTTAACTTAATTAATTATCTCTGTAGTTAAAATATTAATTGCAATTCTTTACATTTTTTCATCACATTCATATATTTCATTTATTTATTTATTTATTATTTACATTAATCAGTTTTGCTATGTAATGTTAAATCACAATCTTTGTGGAATTCAGAGTTTGTAACATGACTTCAACACAATTTGAATTATAAATGGATTAACCTTAATTCTTTGCCCTAGTAAATTTAATAAAAATATGCACTTATCTAAACAACTTACTATATTGTAGTTTTTCTTATTTTTTGGTAGACTACTTAATTAAAATCTACAGATTTGATTTTACAAATGACACAAATTTTGAATTTGCTTTTGAGTTCTTTGGAAGGATGTGTAATATATATACATATATAAAAAATTATAATTTTAAGGTATTCAGTTAATATTTATATACACAATTTTTTTCGCTTTATTTTTTTCATTTAATTATGAAAAACCTGTTGCATTTTGCATTAATTGAATGTAATAATATTTTTTTAACTATTCTATTATATAACAATTACCAATAATATTAACCAATGATAATTATACTAAAAGGTTTATGAAAGTTATACGATTATAACAAATAATTTAGATTTTTTTTTCTTTAAGGTGTTTAATTGGTTTTTCAGCTAATTGATCGGTCATAATCTCTTAAATTTTTTTAAAAATTATATTATATCCATTACATTTTATACAATCTATACAGTAGTTCATACATAAGTAATTAAATAGTTTATAATTATATTGTTCATTTTTACTCATGATTAAATTTATAAAATGTTAACTTATGATTTTAAATATAATTTTCATACATGTCTTATAATATTTTATATACATTTGTGCACGTGCACAAGATTGAGTACTAATTGAAATCACTTATATATTTGCTTAGCACAAGGTGATGGTAAATTGAACTTCACAAGAGTATCTTTTTTGTTTGTTTGAAGGTAAAATGCACAGGAAATCCTGAATGCTCAGGGAATCCTGTAAGTGTAACAATTACAGATGAGTGTCCGGGCTGTAGTGACCCTGTTCACTTTGACTTGAGCGGTAAAGCCATTGGAGCCTTAGCTAAACCTGGCCAAGATGATAAATTACGGTCATTGGGAAAAATAAACATCCAATATCAAAGGTAACTTGTGTGTTTGGTTTTCAGAAATTCAGCACAATTGATAGCTAGTCAGGTTGACCGGTCATACTATATGAATGTCATACATATATTTAATTATTTATCACGTTCTAGATTTCAAGAAAACAAGTTATATTGGTTTGAACTAGGTTTTTTTTTTTTTTTGGNGAGTATCTAAAGCTTTTATTAAGTAGTTGTGTAAAATTAAAGTGATTTAATAATTATATATTTGATTTTTGCAGGATTAGATGCTCTTATAGTACATCTATAACGTTCAAGATTGACGAGGGCTCTACTCCAAATTATATGTCGTTCGCCATAGAGTATGTTAATGGAGATGGTGACATTGGTGCAGTACAAATATCTTCTCCAAGTTCAAAAGGATGGCTCAATATGCAACGCGTTTGGGGCGTGACATGGAAAGTTAACCTATCTAATGGTGTAAATGGTCCGTTTTCTGTGAAAGTAACAACAATCGAGTCCAAAGTAACATACATTGCGAATAATGTGATTCCGGCAAATTGGCAACCTGGTCAACACTATCATGGATGAACAAATGTTTTGCAGTTATATTTGAAGTTGGGTTTTAATAATAGTGGAATAAATTTAGGGTTGATTGTAAGGGAACTCATACTTTGTTATTGGATTAATTACTTTAAACTCTTTGTTATTGGATTACATTAAACTATCTTTTGACATCAAGTATTCATATTTTTTTCTATGGAAGTGAGAATAAATGTTGGGACGAAATATGAACTAATTAATGTTGAAAGTTCTCTATAGTTGATCGCTAAGAAATATATATTAAAAATTAAAATACAAATTATATTGGAAAAGAATTCAATTGGTGAAAACCTCAAATAAGTACATACGACCCGGGTAATCAACTTATTACTAGTTCACGAGGTAAACATCAACGTAGGGAGTTAAATATTATCTACTTATTCCTAGTTCACGAAGTAAAACACATCAATGTAAGGAGTTAAATGTTATCTTATTTGCGCAGCAATCCTAAATAACATATAGATTTATATTAATCGACACAATACTATCCACATACTACATATTAATTTAGTCTAATCCTGTCGCACAAATAAATCGATACCTAATTGCTAAAAAAATAATATATTTTCTTTCATGTCTTGTTAAAGGGCAATGCTATATGTACACCCTTTTTTACTAATTGTACACCCCCCTTCTTAATTAATTGATAAAATATTGTATAATTATTTAAATTACTAAATGTACACCCCCCAATTACTAAATATACACTCCTCTTGTCACATCACCTTTTTTTTTAGTGACATGACCACTCATTTCTAATTATACACCCCCCTATTGTCAAATCAACTTTTTTATTTTTTTAGTGACATGACTCACACTTCCAATTATACACCCCCCTTATTGTCACATCATCTTTTTATTTATTTTTTAATGATATGACCCACAAATTACCAATTATACACCCCCCCTATTGTCATATCATATTTTTTCTATGCTTTCATTATTATACAACAATTTTTGTATGACAACAATTTTTGTATGACAACCATTTTCTATGATGCTTTCATATTTTTTCTATGCTTTCATTATTATACACCCCTTTATATTCTATATATAGCCTTCAATATATGAGCTCAAATATGCACACTCCTAAAAATTTCATAAATTTCATATACACATTACGGTTTTATATATATCATTTATTTGAAGATGTCAAGATCCGATGACTTTGTTATTGATAACACGGCAGAATTTACCGTTGAAGAGGTACTTTTGTTAATAATTTTATAAATATATTTTATATTTACAGTAATAGAATTTTTAATATTAAATGACTATGCTAATTTTTTTTTGTAGGATTTTGCTACTTCTGAAGAATTGTTGAATTGGGTTAACAATGTCGCTAAATCTCTTGGTGTTGTTGTTATAAAAAAACGTTCAAAGTTTTCGAGAAAAAATGAATTAAGAAAAATGTGGTTGCGGTGCGACCGTGGCGGTGAGTATAAAGATATTGGTTCTAGTAAAGACACCGCATCAAAAAAAATCGGTTGTCCTTTCGAGCTAGTTGCTTCGCGTGAAAATAATTTGGTTAAATCTTGGAAGTTAGAAGTAGTTTGTGGCATACACACTCATGCAAATGCTACAAATTTTGAAGGACATCCGTTTGCGATGCGTTTAAATGCAGAAGAAAAAAAGTTGGTGGCAGAATTGACCAGAGCTCATGTTAGCCCACGTGATATTCTCGGTATAATACGAGCTCGAAATGAAAATAATTTTTCCTCCTTAAAAAATATTTATAATGAAAGACACAAGATAAGAACGTCCATGTATGCTGGTAAAACCCCAATGGAGGTTCTTTTGATCACTTTGGAGGATAAAAGTTTTATTTACGAGCTTAATAAAAACCGAGAAACCAATGAATTGGAAGATTTATTTTTTTGTCATCCAACATCTTTGGCGATTTGGCGGTCATTTCCGCAAGTTTTACTGATCGATGCCACGTACAAGACAAACAGGTAATTTTCTTTTATCTGTTTTTTATCCATAAAAATATTTAATATTTATAAAATAAATTCTTATATTATGTTTATCCAAATGTTTACAGATACAATATGCCACTGTTAGAAATGGTTGGCGTGACTTCAACCAATAGTACATTTTGTATTGGTTTCGCCATCATGAATCAAGAAAAAATATCAAATTACGTTTGGGCGTTGAATCAGCTAAAGTTGAGGTTGAAAGAGAATGTTTATCCAAATGTCATTGTTACGGACCGAGAGTTAGCTCTAATGAATGCATGCACGATCGTGTTTCCGGATTCCAACAGATTGTTGTGCAGGTGGCATATTTCGCAGAGTATTTTAAAGAATTGCAGACCTTGTTTTAATTTACAAGGTTGGAATTCATTCAACCACAGATGGGATGTGTTGATAAAATCTCCAACAGTGGAAATATATTCGACTAATTATATTCGGCTACAACAATTTTTGTATGACAACCAAGGTATACACATCATAGAATTATTGTCTTTTATTTTAAAATGTCATATTTTTTGTATAATTATTTTACATGTAGGTTTGAAACGATATTTTTTTACAGTTTCAGGTCATGTACTCACGTACTTAAATGACACTTGGTTGGATCCGTACAAAGAGAGGTTCGTATCTGCTTGGTGTGATAAATATCTAACATTTGATAATAATACAACCAACAGGGTTGAGAGTTCACATGCTCACTTAAAAAGTATGTTGAACTCGTCACAAAATAAGTTAGATAAGATAGTCGAAACAATAGAAGATATAATAAAATTACAATACATATCTATTAAAGATAAATTAGAAAAAAGCAAAATAAAATTGTCACATAAGTTGAAAAATTCACGTCAATTTAAATTTTTACATGGAAAAGTATCAAAAAATGGTTTAAAAAAAATATTTACGGAACTAGAGCGACTTGACACTGTAGTTGAAATTACTGCTGAAACTTGCGGGTGTCAACTTCGTACAAGTTGTGGGTTACCATGTGCGCACGAACTTAACTTCTATATGAAAGAAGACTTGTTTATTCCATTACAAGAAATTGATGTCTTCTGGAGGACTTTAGATATTCCTGACCCTACAGTAGAGGAGGAGGATGATGTAACTTGTGATGCTGAGCTTGAAAGGTTCAAAAAAGGTTTTGCAGATCAGCCAAAGTCAGGGAAGGTCTCATTTTTGAGAAAACTTAGGGGGATTTTTGAACCATCGACCTATATTGTTGGTGAACCTTCTGTTCACAAAAATATCCGTGGTCGTCCAAGTTCAAAATCCAGCAAGGACAAACAAGTGTTGCCTAATGAAAGTCGTAGACATAGTTGTTCATCGTATAGACCAGCCGTTCAGTCTGAATTGAACGAGCCACCACGACACAGTGAATATGTCTACCGCGATCTGCCACCCAAGGTTGATCCACCACAGTGTAGCTCATATATGCCTTTTTCTTTTGATTTGAATGATCTGCCACCTATGTCCGAGCAGAACTTTGTTTATCAAGACCCGGCACCATCAACTCAATATGGTTATGATCATTACGAACTGCCACAACAAAACGAATATTATTATCAGCAGCCAATAATGGAGGTATTGTTATTTTATACTTTATTTTTTTATAAAAAGATACAATCTAGTTGTCAATTAAAATTTCTTTTATCTTATATTTTTTTTTAGGAACCGACACGGTATACACATCCACTGATTCATGAAATTCCATCTTTCTTTCAACCATATGTCATCGGGATTGAAGATGTTGAAGGCGATGGAAATTGTGGTTTTCGGTCAGTAGCTGTTGCTATTGGTCGAGATCAACATGATTGGCCATCGATTCGTCATGAATTATTGCAGGAATTGCATACCAATAAAAAACACTATAAAATTTTTTTTGGTGATTATTATAAGGTTGTGGAACACTCCTTCAAATTTCAAGGCATTGGATTTGCACCGATTGAGCATTGGATAAAAATGCCCGAAACTGGTCTCGTGATCGCGAACAAGTACAACTGCATTTTTTATTTTTTAACAGATGCAGGTAGTTACACATTCTTTCCGCTTTGGACAAGTCCACAAGCTCCAGAACTAAATCAATCCATAGCAATTGCATTTGTTCATGGAAATCATTTTGTGAAAGTGGATTTGCAAAATGGACATCCAATGCCCAAAGTTTCTCCGTATAAAAGTGTCTGTATGAAAGAATGGAGACAAATGTATAAGGATCGTCTACAATTGTAATAATACAAAAAAAAAATGTATTTATTTATAATATTGGTCAAATCATGCCTTTATTTTTATTTATTTTAAAAATAATTGTTAAATCATGTAATGATTTTGAAATCATTTAATAACTAATAGTCAAATCATATAATAATTTAAAAGTCACATCACGTAATGATTTAGTAATGATTAAAGTAATTAAAGGATAATTAGAGAGGGGTGTACAATTAGAAATTTAGGGGGTGTACATATAGACACCCCCCTTGTTAAATAGAGAAACAAAAGCAGATGAATACATGATGACATTCAAAATCAAACACAAGCAGAAGATGATGAAAACAAACAAAGGCTTCAAGAAAAGACATCTCTATAAATATCCCCACAAAAACATAGTGGATCCAAGTCTTGAGGTCGTGTCTCGAAATAGATGTAAGCTGTCGGACACGCTGGCGGTTTTGAAAGGTCCGACCGGTTTAAGGTTCGACTTGCAATAAGTAAAGTGAGATCGAGATTATAACGCAATTATCCAAAGGTTGGGATAAATTTGCCAAACGTAAAAAGGTTGAGATTTATTTAGCAATTAATCCTAATTAATATTAAGCTATTAATGTAAAAAAAAATTCTAAATAGATAAGGGGTGTCATTTATTCCCACTAGTATTTGAGCCTATGCATATGCATAAAAATTTAAATTATTATTATTTATTACTTACGTGTATATGTATAATTGTAAAATTATAAGTTAAATAATAGTATCACATTTAAAAATTTTGTCGTTAGTAAAAATGAACATCATAAAAGTATTCAAAATTATCACTATATTTATTATATAAAATAAAATGGATAATAAGTTTTCATTAAATTCAACTAATATAGTGTACAACCTTGCATGACAAATTTGAATTTGAATGAGCTGTTGTAAAGATCTCAATTACAAAAGATGACTTTTCTTATATATATTTTGCATTATATCTATATCATATCAATACTTAATACTTCTTTTGCATTGGAATAGTCAACATACAAATTAAAAAAATAGTTTTAACTATTCAAATTTAAGGGTTTAAACATTATCTCGTAACTATGCAACAGTTACATTATCTAAATATAGAGAAATAAAAAATGGTAATTGCATGCAACCGTTACAAATTCAAAATATAGTAAAAATAGTTGGATGATAGAATGGAATAAATTAAAAGAAAAAAAATGTTGTAATGGTTTCTGGATGGAGGTCATAAAATTTTTTATTAAATGCAACCTATTTTTATTAAATGAACTCATATTATTATTAATTGAAGGCTGAATAAAATTAAATGAAGTTTGTTGCCAATTATATATATATAGAATTTACGGAAATGTTCCCCTACCCACGGTGGGTACATATTAATATGTCCACCACTTGACATGCACACATTGGTGATATTAATATGTTAAAAAAATACATCACCAATGCGTGAATGCCACATAAGCGGTGGGCATATTAACATGTGCCCACCGTGGATAGGGGAACATTTCCCAATAGATTTAACCTTTTCTTGTACATCCATTTGGGCTAAATTATGTAACTGCCCGAGAAACAAACGGAATTTATAAAAAAAATCAACTACAACAAACAATTAAAAAAAACAAATTTGATTTCAAAAATATGTGAAACAATAGTTGTTTTAATTTAACATCAGATCCTCATACATCAACTTCTAGCATGTTTAAAAAATAAAACCATCCTTAATAACTGACATATGTATGCGAAGAAAAAAAAAATCCTCAAAAATCAGATGAAGCTATAGAAATCAATAAAAAAAATCTAAGAAGTAACATAAAATAGTACGTAAGGANAATAAGGTAATAAGGGAATTTCAATTAAACCGTATTTTGCTTAAAAAACATAAATAATTTTTATTGGTCGATTATTATAGTTTTAATAAAAAAAATTATACAAATTGAGAAAAAAAATGAATTAGTGCCTTACATCCGTCCACTACAATGTGTTAAATCGTATTTTTTATTTTGCTTTTCTGATTTTTTTTTGGTATATATATTAGTTATTTTTATTTAGTAGATTTTTATTATATATTGTTGGAATATCACTTGTAAGTTGTTCCACATTAATTTGATAAGGTAAATGAGCCTAGTTTATACTCCTCCCATCACCAATTAGTTTTGAGATGGAACGTTTCAGCTGTGTGGGACCGCACTTGTTTTGCCCCCATTTGACATATGTGATATCCTATTGTTATTTGTTTTCCTTCCCTTAATAGGATTCCTATTAAGAAAGAAAGGAGATTTTTTGGCAAATTAATTTAGAAAAAAAGGCCAAAAAAATGTGAAAAAAAAAATAAAAAAATTGCTGGAGTAGATAACTAAACAAGGTGCTGGGTGTTTTTTGATTAAGGGATAACAAGCAAGTAGCAGCACGAGAGACCAAGGAATACAAGCGGCGGCTTTTTGCCTTGAGGGAGAACATTGGAGCAACATACGGGCAAGCAAAAGGTATTTTTTACGACAAAGATCTTCTGGGCTTATGTTCTTTATTACTATTCTCTTATCATACTCATGGGATTACTATGTTATTTTTTTTTTTTTTTTTAGTATCTCATTTGAACTCGTGATATATTTTTCTCTATTCAGTAGACGCGTTGGGAATATTTTAGATTTTTGTGGAAAGCATTGTAATTGATTTGTTCTAGTGAATTTTTTGACATGTTGCCTTGGTTAAAACAAAAAAATTATAGCATTTTTAAATACCTAAAGTTGGCCGGAAAAAGCTGAGTTTGGCCCGCAAAAGTCGCCGGAGACAGGCCTGGTCGGGCCCATCAGTGTAGCAGGCTGGCTGCGACCTAGTGATTTCTCGCGCCCAGTGTACCGCAGAGACCCGTGCCACTCAGTCCCGTATCGCGCGTCCCGTGCAGGCGTGCTGCACTCGCATCCAGCGCCCGCAGACGTACCGTGTCGCGACCCAGCTCCCGCAGACGACCCGTGTCGTATCACAGCACCCAACGCGCCAGTCCCTCCAGCGCCCGTGCCAGTGGCCAACAGCACCTCAGCAACCCAGTTCCGAGCCCCAGCAGGCCATACCTAGGTCTCAGCAGACCAGTCCAATGCCCCAGTGGGCCAGGCCAGTGTCGAGCAGGCACAACACCAGGTCAACCCGAGCAGTCTAGCGAGTCGAACCATGTCTGAGCGTGCGTGAGCCGACTGGTTCGGACCAGTTAAAAGTTAGATTTTCTGAGTCTTAGATCTTTATCCAAGAACTCTAAACGAGCCTAGAAGAGTTAATTAAATATAATTAAGGGTTTTAAATAATAAACTAAATCAAAATTTATATCTTCAATAATTTTCTAAGTAATAATATTAAATAAATGCTTAATTCGTAGATTAAGAGGAGTCGAGCCCTAAGAAGAATCACGAGCATTCATTCATCATCATCTGCATTCGAGATGGGGTGTTTCTATACTATGCCTTATTCTTTATAAATGCGAGATATTCTGTTTTATGTATGTGATGTTTACATGTCATTTGCGCAGGGTAATGTGAGTGCTCGACCTACGAAGGGGAAAACAGTTACATGTCGCCTGTTATGGGTGATGTGAGTGCTCTGCCTGTGAAGGGAAAATCAGTTACATTTCGTAGGGTAATGCCTGTGAAAGGCAATCAGATGTATTACGCCTGCGAAGGGTGATGCCTGTGAAGGGCAACAAGATGAGATCAGTTTTACATGTTTCATGCTTAAAATATGATATCTGTTTTTATACTGAATAATCTTAAAGTATGCTTCCTACGGTGAGCTAGTTGTTTTGCACACCCCCATAATTACCATTTTCAGGTTGAGCAGCAGTCGGCGGACATGAGGTCAATTTATGTTTATTAATTATTTATGCTTCCACAAAGACTCTTAAGATTCATGCTTTTCAGCTGTCTTTAGAACTATAGAACTTGTTTTGGAAACTCGATTTGAGACCCCTTTTCAATTGTTTTCGAAACGCTTAAGTTATGCATCAATGAGTTAGTTTTAAGCGTTATGCATCAATGAGTTTTAACAGTTCTAAAGCTAGCAGATGAGAATAGCATTCCCATAAATACTTAGATTAGCGACTTAAGTTTCAAAAAGGAAAAGCAGTTCAATAAAGCAAAGAAAAAAGAAATTTTCAGCAAAGATAAGAAAGAGTTTTATATAAATACTCTAAAAAAAGCTAACAGTTTTAAAATGTTTTTGAAAAAGTTTGAAATTACTTAAGAAAATTCAGTACATTTCAAAGTATAAGTAGAGGGTGCTTACAAGTCAACCCGTCACACAATCTAAAAAAAACACACTTCATTCACATGAAACAACAAATTCAAGTTTTGAGTGCATTACGAATTAGTAAAAAAAAAAAAGGTGTTGGAGATCCATGATAATGTACACTGTCATTTTTTATAATACCCATTCGTTGCAGAGTCTAAAATATAGTATCAAAATGGTCACATTTATAAACACTAGAGTAGATTCTATCGAGGCAAGAAACCATGGCTGTACATAGCAATTTCGAAGGCCTGCATTCGTTCACCGCAAGCCAAGCCATTTCGATCATACGATGAGATCTCGTTTATGTTGAGATCCACACACGTCTTGATAAGCTCTTCCCCAACACGTTTTGCCGCCTCCTACAATTTTTAAAAAATAAAAAATAAAAAATGGAACTTTCTTTTAGAGTGCAATTCTGTTGCTTAGGAGGGGAAACATTTGTTTTGAAAGATATACAACTGCTTTTGTAATATCCTAAATCTGAGGGTAGTTCCCCTTTCAATTTCCGCAAAACAGGAGGCACTAAACATCTAAAAATCTTGTTTTGGATTATAATCGTACATAAAATACTAAAAACTGAAAGGAAAAACTCACAGCAGTAGTGCAAGATGGATCATTTTGCATGGATTTCTGAAGAGTGCTTCCATAGAACACGCACTTTTTCTTTTGGTCATCTACTAACATAGCATACAACTGCTTTTTCGAGCAAAACACCGATAGCCTCGGCCTTGTGGCTGTCCCGTTAAACTGGTCATAAATTATAACAATAATCAATATCTCAGACCCTTTACTGCCAATTCAAATTTATAATAAATAGATAAATAAATAATGAAATGTAGCTGAATAACATATACTCATAAAGACACTTCCTTTTTGTTCACCTTTTCTCTTAATCTTCGATTGCGAATCTTAGGACTCTCTGTCCTCTGATTGTGTCTAGCCTGAATCACCAATGGCTTCACTAACACATCTAAAAGAATTTTTCAATATAAGAATTTCTTCTAGCACGCAGAGTGTATAAATAAAATCAGGAAGAGAACAATGCTCCAGGAAAAGTTCACATGACTAATTTGTATTGCTCACTTGCAGATGACATGGGAGATATACTTGAGCGATTTAGACTGTTCCCAAAGATCCCACAAGCCTGGAGCTTTAATCCTAAAAAGCAAGAGACGATCGCCATGAATTATTACCCGCTTGTCTTCGACCTAGAGATTTCATGTCAGTGAAACCAAAAGCAGCAAAGAAATCATGTTCGGAAACTCGTTGAGACATTTAATCAAACACATTAACTTCAAGTGTATATTAAGGGGTAGAAGCATAGATGTTCAAACAACTTAGACCCTAGAGCCGCCAAAAGCAAAGCCCTGCGACCTTATGTAGGAATATGTTGCTGCCCGCTGGGATTTATGCAGCTGAACTTGCCCTTAGCGTAGGAATAAATAATAAAAGGAAAATGAGTTTTGAATAATATGTTTATATGAGTATATGACGTGAGGCTTGCTTGCATTTATTTGGGGCTAGGCCGGTCAGGGGTGAGTATGACCCGAAATCGAACAGAATTATAAAAAAATCAAAATCGACCTTATATACAACTCCCGAAAGCGCTGAGCCTAAGTGGCAGGATCGTATGTTTTGTAAATCGTAATCTTATTTGGCATAAATTTGTGCTTTGTATTGACAAATGTACATGTTTAGTTTTGACTATTAGGCTTGAGAATTACCATAAACTACTTTAGCTTTCTTTTTTCTTTAAGTTACAATATTATATTCTCGTATTATCTTATTTAATTCATATATTTATTATCATAAGTTAGTATTCTTTTTTATTTGTAAAACTTTATAGCTTTTTTATTTGTATTTGTTTTCTTATTTATGATATATCAAAATAAACATATTTTAACGATCTTCAATTTGACATCCATATTGCACATATAAAAAATAATTTCATCTATCTTTATAAACAAAACTAGTTTTATTATAAAATTAATTTAAAAAATATCAAATAACAATATAAATAATTTTATTAAAATAGTAAAAATCTAATTAATCAATACACTATAAAATAATCAATTTAATGTGTTTTTTTATAAAGATTTTGGATAAAAACTGAAAATTTAGTATTAAATAAAATAAATTATAAGAAATATTATAAAATATTATTTCTCGATTTAAATAAATTATATAAAGAACTGAATGTTATTATGTTTTTTAAAATAATAAACATAAAGGAATATCAAAACTAAATATAATAAAATTAGTGTTCCATTTCATAAATTTATAATAATATATTTCTGCGCAAAATAATATTTTAAATTATTAAATTATATAACATTAAAATACGTGAAAATTTAATAAACGAGAGACACAGATAAATATAAAATACAATCACAATAAGTTAAAACTTCTTTTGGTTCAAAAAAATTCAAATCAAATATACAAAGTTGTAAATAATACTTATTTTAGACATATATAATTTTAAAAATATAATTAAAAATATCATTTTTGACAAATTTAGTGTAAAAATACGGACGCCATTTTGAATTAATTATCACTTTGTTAACTATTTATTATGTTGTATATTTATTATACATAATTTAGTCGATTCAATTTCACCTTCCCTCTCCCAAACTCTATGACTTCACTTCGCAGCTTCTTGTATTTATTCACTAGGTCGCAGCTTGTTACAATAAAAATATTAATTATTTTAATTTTTTATGTACAAATATTAAAATATATTTTACCACTTGTGTAGTACACGAGTATCGTACTAGTTATAATGACACAACAAACTGAAAGGTACCGCATAATACAAAACTATACAATTTGGTTTTGTGGAAGGAAGAAAATTTGGAAAAGTGAAAAATAACCTTGCCTCTGATGCAAATTTCCATTTCCTTTGTTAAATGGTTCAGGGAATTCAAACTCCATAGCACTTCCAAATTCCAATCTCCATCACCTATCTACTGATTATTTTCCAATTCATTATAGCTTAATAAAAATAAATAAATAAATAATTATATGTAAAATTATAACTAAATATGCACGAAAATCACTTTAAAATGCGCGTACGTAAAAATGACGCATGTCACTCTTCTGGCTATCGGATCTCCTCGGACGTCCTTGCCTGAGACCGGGGTTCTTCAGCCACCCTAAGTTTTCGAGTGACATTCATAAGTTTTCACTTATATTCAATCTCGTGTGGCTTGATTACTAGATCATTTTCACTTATATTCAATCTCGTGTGACTTGATTACTAGATCATTTTCACTTATATTCGACATGTAATTGATTTCTCCTAATTGATCCTATGCAGGTTACTCATAGTAGAGAGTAAAATAAACAACATAAATTCACTAGAATCCCTCATATAAACAAACCAATATTCCGAAACATGGATTAGACACAAATACCCTTTTTTACATACCCATATTTGCAAGATGCAAAGTAATGCAGATTTAAATAACTTTCAAGAAATGATTTTTCGAGGGTCATTCATAAGTTTTCACTTATATCAATCTCGTGTGACTTGATTATTAGATCATTTTCCACATATTAGCCCATTGCTAATTTTACTAAAGAACACAGCACAAATGTCTTGCATACAAACTAACAAACACAGATTTAGCTAACATAAACCAAAAAAAATATATATATACAAAGCACCAAATCAAAAACAAGAAGACAGGAAATAAATTCTCTGAACAAAAGAAAAAAATGTCTCTTTTGTTCTTTCTACTTTTCCAGTCACTTGTTCGGTAACTAAAACATCATTATTTAGCATAATGAAACGCAGTACCATATGCTTTAACAGATCTAAATGATCCTAAAACAGCAAACAGAATCCCACAAAAACTCAGAACTCCCAAAAATCACAAAACCAGGATCTCCCTCGTGATTTCATCAACGCCCGCCCAAATTACAAGCACGGTTAATTTTAGAATGCATGTCAGAAACATAAAAGATTTCAAACATTTACCTACAAACTTCTGTTTGGTGGGGTTCCTGTTGGAGGGAGACTGTGAGAGGCTCCAAGAGAACGATGAAAACCTAGCCGATTAGTACAACCCCAAATGGCACTTTGTTGGGCTTGATAGCCTTGATTGCTTTCAATCAAATATTTCATTTCCCTGTCCGTTCCGCATATGTGGAGTTGTGTGGATAAAAGAACACTCCTTATCCTTTTCTAGTAATTTATTACCCTTTTGACATGGAGCACTCCTTATTTAAAAGCAATTTTAAAAGCCTTTTCCAAGTCGAACTCATCCGAACTAAAAGCCCACAAACCTGATATCTACACCATAACTTAAAACAAACGCAGGATAGTTCAAATCAGTGTTTTTAAACACGACCTGGTAATTGACTCGGGCAGGTCCTCGGGTCACCAGTTCAACCATCGGGTCACCGGTCATTTGCTGAACCTGAATAATTAATTTTAAAATTTTTTAAATTATATATAAAATATTTTTGTCATATAAATATACATAAAAGTAACAAAATTAAAAGTTTTGTGTATCAAATTTGTACATTGAGGTGTTAATAATATGTATCTCATAATAAATATTTACCATATAAACATATATACAAAGTTTTATTTTTAAAAAACAAAAAAAATAAAAAGAAAATATAAGGACTGGGTCAACCGAGTTGACCCGATCGGGTCAATGCCCGGGGTCGGCCAGGTCAAGGTCGGGTTGGCCGAATTTGACCGGGTCCTTTGTTGCCCGGTCCAAATAGCCCACATGACAAAAGTTCCCAATTGAAATTTGAATTCTAAAGTTTTGGGTTTATCACAATTTTTTTATGATATAATTGGTAAATGATAATATTTATAATATTTTTTTATTTTTCTTGTATTTTTCATTTTCAGTTTCATAGGAAATTGGAAACTAGACTTTGGAAGAATATTGATTGGGTGAATTAGGTGGGGTGCTAATAAGCACTAATGTTTTATTTATTTATTTATTTTTTCTAACTTCATTAATGTTTTGTACCTATGGAGAAAACTATGTCTTGGAGCTTTATTTTTTTTCCTCAAACCATAATTATATTAAAACTGAAAAACACAAAACGAGTACGCCTGAGGCGTCAACTAACACCACAAGAATCAGCACAAAAACTAGATCTACCTCACTGAAATTAGTCAACCAATAGAGTACAATCACCCGCATATACAAAAAAAACTCCGAAAAGAATTAAAGTCAGATACAGGTGGATTTTTAACAGAAAAACAAGGAAAAAAAAAACAAAACAAAACAACAACAACACACACTTAAATTATACAATAAGGTCCTCCTTACTGCCACGAGACACCAACACCCTACCCAACTAAAGACAACAACCGAAGACAAACCGAAAAAAGCAGGATCCAAGCCCTCGACACAAATCTCGAAACTCCAAACTCCGACACTCAGAAGACAATGGCTAACTCGACCAGCAACTACAAAATCGAAACCTCCTTTTAAACTGCCATCTCCGAAGACAACTCCAAGACCCAGCCAAAGTCGCCTCCCCCAACACAACACCAACAACATCCAAACCAACTACCACAACCACCAAAACCGCACCCCAAATCGTCGACGGAGACCGTCCATCCCCACCCCAGAGAAACTAAGGTAACACCGCCCGTCCTAGCACCGGCCACCGAAAGGAAGACAAACGGAGCCCGCGGACGCATCGCCACCAACCAAGCGTCGGCCAAACCAGCACGAGCCACCCGTCGACCAGGGAGATCCATGCCTAGAGTTGGGACCACAAACTGGCAGCAACAAGGTTAAGGCCCAAAAGTCGGTCATCCTCGCGGCGCAGAGGAGCACCTGATGGTGGTAAGGAGGCGCAAGCAAGGGGAATTGACATGGCTAGGGCTTTTATAAATTGGGAGAAAAAGCGCAGACAGGAGAGAGAAAAACTGGGGAATGGAAGGCCTTTCGATTTTTAACTATGTCCTAGAGCTATGGACATAAAAACTGTATTTGCATATTAAACTATTTCATAAATTTTCTTTTAGGCGACTAGTTTATTAAATTGTGGGAAACGTTTTCTCCTAAGAAGTTGGATAATTAATATTTGGGACACACGTCATGGCATGCTATGAAATCAAATCACATTTGGAATTGAAAGTAAAAACCAGAAACTAGCTTCTCCACGATCATATCAATAGCTTAACAACCTAAATATTCATACTTAAGGATTCTCAAAACCCACCAACACAAAAGCTAAATACACAATACTATATATAGTTTCCATTCAGTTCTCGACCTCTTAACACAAGCATGAATACGCTAAGTGGCTCTTCTTAGCAACATACATCGAAATACTGTCGGCAGCCGATATAGAAGCGTTCTTTGACGGGACGAAGATTTGGGTCTTCCCGAGCCCAATTCTTTGCCCCACAACACTTTCATAGAATCTTCCGTTCGGCAAACTTGGGACAAAAACATCTCCTTTCGCACACATATACAAGTCAATGTATCTTTCAAGACCTCGACTCCTCATGTCCCAAAACGTCGCCTTCTCATCAGCCGGCATTATTGCATCCTTGTAGCATCATATACCATAACATAGTTCCCAATCAGTAATCCAATTCATAAGAAAAAAAATTAGAGATTCAGTTATGTAACTGACACCAAATTGAAAACTAGTCCAGTCGAAGGACCAAAAGTCAGGTTTTTTTGCAGTTTCACCAGACTATTTATCAATTAAGTGTCAGTTACAGAATTAAATCTCTAATTTTTTCCCAATTCATAACAGGCAAAGTAAAGTAAAAACCACAACATTCTCATAATGTGTTTTACCTTCACAAAAGTGTTGGGAAAAATGCTCTGCAGAGCATTGAGATTGTTGTGCCACCCGGACTGAGTCAAGTACACGGTCGTGTTGGGATGAAACCCGATTTTCGCAAGAAACATACCAATTTCTCGTGCGCTAGGGCAATTTTTCTGGTCACAAGCAACTTGAAAATCGACAGCCAAAAATTTGCCGCCAATTTTCGTGCTGAGGCTCCTCAAAGTCCCGAGCATCGAATCAGCCAGCTCCTGAAGCCATGGCTGAAGCCTTAGGCTCTCGAACATCGCCAAACACTGGTAAGCGTTCGACTGCTGATCCCCTGACCCTTTGATTTTGGCAGACGAGTTGAACAATGTGACAATCCTCAAGTTCCTCTTGCTTAAGTAAACGGGTTTGATTTTTGAAGAAATAAATTCCTCCGAGACTTGGTTCGGAACATGGACGATAGGCAGCCGCCCTTTCAGCAGCTTGGCGGGTGGGTTTTTTTCGACCCGAACCACACCACTAAGGCTCACCAGAAACTTGTCCAAGTTGTAGACCTCATAAAAACTCCTAAAAATGCAACACTATTATTATTATATCTTGATCGATATAATAGCCATATTCTAGCGAATGAAAATTATCGAGATGAGAATTATGTATACCTCTTCTTGCCTGACTTATCTATAGCTATGTCGGGAAGAGCAAGAGTTGCCCCGAGCTTCCTTGCGACCAAAACGGCATTTGCCACCTTGGATGGAATACAGGACATCTTAATTCTACTTAATTTATAAAGACTTGTCTAATTTTTATTTTCATTTTTTTGTAATTGATATGCTTAATATAATTAAAATTAAATTCACAAAATACCTGCGCCGCATGGTATTCTGGTCCATCGGTCAATGAGAAGAAGATGTAGCCATCCGACTGATGTTTTCCCTCTGCATCAAAGGATATTAAAAAGAAAAATAAAAAAAAGTTAGTAAAGCAAAATTTGTGAGACATGAGTGTGTGT